TAAGGTTTAAAGTTATTGGGCTTTAAAGTATCAATAGGGTGTGGACCTTTAATGTGTAGAAACTAATGGGTCTTCTATTTTAATGATGGGCTAAAATAGAGATGCCCAATGTAACTTAATGTACATAAGGGTTGTGGTACCTAGGTCATACGATATCGACAGATTATCTCTTCTGCATCCCATCGACAGAGAGGTTACGGAGAAAAGCTAAAGGGTTCTCTGAAAAGGTACACGATCGTATAAACCTAGAAGGCGAAATCCCCAAATCAATCACCTATGGATTCAGGTACGCTTCCACTATTCAGTTTTGATTCTCAATTATTCGATATGAAAGCTCCTGGATTATAGCGATGTATTTTGCCTAAAGTTACTTCTAACATCCTTTGCGTCATTTGGAGTTAAACTTGATAAAGAACTTGCGTCTTCACGTCGAGGAGTATATACCTTTCGAGCACAAGTAATGGTTTATCATGATCTTCCCGGATTATTTCCCAAGGAAGGAAGTCCTGGCTATTTTCAATTATATTTTTTTTTTCACAATATAATTTAACTCTATAGCAACTGTATTTTGTGCATGAAAGTTTTTGGAAACATTTTAGTAATAATATGATTATTAGTGTAGAATGTGTGATTTTTGAAAATTATATTAAATAAATTTATTAATATATGACTAAATGAGAGTTTGCTTTTATAAGTAATTAGTTTATGTGAAGTAATCTATTGTGTTTCATATTTGTGCAATGCATTTAGTAAATTGTATATTACCATTTATTTTGTAATTATGTAAATTGACTTAAACAATATTTCATTAATCTTTCTTCTCATTTAATATAAACATAAAAATTTTAATAATTAAAAATAGTTGTGTTAGATTTTAATGTAAAAGAGTAATTTATAAAATATATATTAAACCTAAAGTTTACGATTTTTTTTTTCTAAACATGCTAATAATTTATTATTATGTATAGTATATATGTTAATAAGCTTAAAAAATTATGGAATTTGTTTTTTTAATATACAGAATTTTTGGTTATGTTGTGATTACATGTATTATATTTGGAATTAAAGGCAATGTAGTTAAGAAAATAGAAACATACCTTCTTGCTCTCGAGAGAGAACATCAGATGTCGACGTAACATTTGATGGTAAGAGTGCACTATGAACATTTAATTGCCTCCCTATAAAGAATTAAGTTAAATGAAAATGAGAATTTGAATAATTTTTTTAAAAAAATAAAAAAAAAATGAGTTAAATTAGTTCAATTAAAATAAATATAGAAATATTATATTTACCTCTTTTTTTGATAGGGGACGTTGTAGTTGCAAGTTTGTTAATGTTTTGATGCCATCCTGTCTCGCCTCTTGGAAAAAGAAGAGGATATTGTAAAGGATCGTAACATCCATAAAAATGTTTTATCCTATGGCGATGACCAGAGTGGGCATGGATAACAATTTCATGTTCAAACGGTAGGTTGGCATTATTTCCTTCAATCCATATAGCCGCAACTTGATCCGCAGTTGGACAATTGTAAACCCGTTGATCGAGTTTTGTATCTTTGGAGATATGGATTTGAATATCATCCATTGAAGGATAGTCCTTCAACCTTCTAAATATTTTTGCATATGGGTTAAGGTCTAAAACCTTCATGAGTTTAGCTACAGTGGCTTCGTTTAAGCTGCAATTTTCAAAAATATTCGTCCTGTTTTTTTATCTCATTTTCTGTCTCAACGAAATATAATTGAAAATAGCCAGGACTTCCTTCCTTGGGTATTAATCCGGGAAGATCATGATAAACCATTACTTGTGCTCGAAAGGTATATACTCCTCGACGTGAAGACGCAAGTTCTTTATCAAGTTTAACTCCAAATGAGGTAAAGGAAAATATACAATTAAAAGGACGAATATTTGATCGAAAATTCGTAGCTTCTTCGGTTTGAGAAGTAAACAACTGATATAACTCGTCAGGAACTTGAATGGGAGCCAACTTAATTTTTCCGTTATCGCAACAAAAAGTTGGAGGTTCATACTCAAATCTAACAGCATCACAATGGACACAGTTAGGCATATTCTTTACTCTATGAATATCAGAACATACTGCTGCCAATTTGTTTGAACCTAAAGAAAACGTAAATAAATTACATATGTATTGAACTAAGTTAAATTAATGAAGTAATGTTAATTAGTTTTCCATAGGAATATTATTAATACCTTGTGATTGGCATTGAATTTGATCTTTGATCAAAAGACAAAAAATTTAGGAAATTTGTTTCTTCTTACATTTCTTCACTGCATCAATGTATTCTTGTCTTTCTGTAACATTAAGATTTTCATATTTTCTCTTCATCCTCTCACGGTTCCTTTTTCTGTATACATCTGAAACTGTATATTAAAAAAATACAAGTAATTAAATGAGACCATACTTGGTAAAATTAATTAAAATTAAAGTAAAGTATAATTTATAAAGGTAAAAAAGATACCTGATGATGATATGTTTGAGGTTGATGGTGTTTGTTGCATTTTCATATAGGTAACGAGTAAATAATCTGTAAATAAACAATAACAAGAGCGTTCATTTTCATCATTCATGAATTTATAAATAAGTATTTAAAAAAAAATTCCTTAAATAATATAAAATATATAATTTTGATATAAGCATAAATCATATGGGACAAAAAATTTCATTTATTTATTTAGTAAATAAAATATGATAAACTATATTATAATACATTATATAGTTAAAAAAGAAGTAAGTGGGGATTTCATCCAACAAATTTAAACCCAATAAAAAATAAAGACAAAATTTAAGATAATTCAAAGATAAAAAGAGAAACATATCAATAATCATGAATCTTAATAGGCAAAAGTCTAACATAATTTTATTTAAAATAAAAATAAAAATTTCAGAAGAGGCAGAAATTGCCACATTAATCAGAAGGGAAAAAATTTTGTAAGCAACCAAATACACATAGTTTAGACACAAAATTTATCTGAGTTTTTTGAAAAAAAAAAATAATAATAATTATTATTCTTTTCAGAAGATATAGACATGAATAAGAACGAAAATGATTTTGTCACGAACTAAAAATCTATGAATGTCGAATTATTAATAACTACAAAGATTAATATTTCACCATAAAAATATATGTTAAAGTAAAAAAAAAAAAAAAAAAAATGATTTAACCTATGTCTTACAGGTGTTCGGGGTGATGCAGGGATAAAATGGTGTTCGGGATGATATTGAATTTTGACGTAGGTGAAATGGAGGATGAGAAAGGATGAATGATTAGTGAGTATATATTGATAATAATGGATGAATAGATGGATAACTAAAGAGCATGAATGCTGAAAAGGTTTTGGAAGTTGAAAAGATGAAATTGGAAAGTATTATTTTGCCATTACAAACAATGAACATTTTTAATTCTTACAGAAGGTAATTTAGTCTACTTTAATTTTTGCAGAAACATTGACACATTTAGGATAGTAGAGATAGAGAAGAGATAAACATCTAATGTCATGAACATTTATAGTTCTTTTTTCAAATATAAAAATGCTCTCAATTTTTAAAATCTTTCCTCTCTAAGCAAAAAAGTGCCTATGCAGATGCATTCAAACGCTGCCAGAGTACAGTGAAATGCTCTTATCAATTTTAATGCCGTATGTCCATACATGCGCGTGTGCATAGACGATCTTCCTATCCCTGGACCTGGAGTAAATGGTTCCATACATATATGTGACAAATTTGATTCAAGAGTTCAAAATCATTTCAATAGAAGGTCATAACAAAAGGTAAAGAAGTTATCTAAATGACATATACAAAACATTTATACAACACAAAAATTCACATAACAATGAAATAACAATATGAAGATACGAGGCACCCAACAAACATTTCCAACTTCACAACCTACTCACGAACATCAGCAGAGGGTAATTGAATAAACAATAGGAAAGAAGTACCTGGCAGGAAAATGTGCTCATGGAGGTCAATGAGATGAGGTGAAATTGAGAACTAAGAAATGACATCCTGCCACTGGTCGAGTCGACAGCTAGGATATTTTCACCGCTGTTCTGGAAAAACTCGATTTTTAGAATCCATCGTTACGATAAGGGCATTGGAAAACAGCAAAGGCTGTTCTTTCTCTTCTTCCATCTCAACTGTTTTACTGTAATTCTGAGCATCTCAACTATGTGGCAAAAAACTGCAGATATCTATTGCGATCAATCTGAGCCTACAGGCACCATTATCAGGATCTATAAAAATAGCAATTGAGCTATAAAATAATCAATGGCAAAAAGCCAAAAAGGCAGTCGAACTCTGTCGATCCATTTTCCTCGATAGTTCACATAAATAGACACGTCAATTAAGCTCGAGCCCACCATTCACATCAACTTATCCCCCATATGGCCATATTTCACAGACTTCCACAACAAGAAATGAAGATTTCTACAAATATCGAAGGAAACCAATAAATTAAAATTAGAACAACATCAAATATGTCTAGCAAGCGCACACGAGCCGGCACTTATAGCAGTGGTGATTACTGGATATATATATGCCAGAGAGCCAAGTGATAATTGGCACACCAAGGCAACAAGTCTTGCTCTAACCAAATATTCAGATGATTATTAGCAGGCAAAACCTCTGCGAACCCCGTGTGTTCAAATGTCATATCCATTAGAGCAAAAGGAGAAAATCAATGCAAAAAAGAAGAAAGGCAACATCATAAGATCTACACTGAACAACTAGCATTTGCTACAACTTACATGTCCATTACTACAACCACAGCAAAGAGGAAATCGTTTTCGCCATGGCCGAGAGTAAAGAAAAAAAAAAAAAAAAAAAAAACCATTTTTGTGCTGGGAAAACAAAAGGTATTTGCTCAATCCAAACAAAAGAAACTACTCAATTCAATTTCACATTATACGTCGATCGTCACGCCATAACAAGACAAAAAAAAAAAAAAAGATAATTCAAGCTAATACAAAAACCACAGGCATGCTCAATGATCACTGCAAGTATTTGCACCGGCACCTGCCGCCTTCTTCTTCTTCTTCTTCCTAAACTTGACATCACACACAAATGCTTTCTCCAACATGTCCACTCTGTTAGTCAGCGTATTAATCATCCTCGACTGCATCTCATTCCTCTCGAACAACTGCTTCATCATACTCATCATCTTCTCATTGTCCTCAATCATGCGCTCCAACAAATCCCGGTTTCTTTTATCGTCGTCCTCGACTTTGTGCCCCTCCTTCGCCTTCTCCTGTGTCCCATTCTCAACCGAAAAGTCGGATTTCTCACAAACACAGCCATTGTCAAAGCCAACAGGATTCGATTCGCTGATCACCTTCACCTCACGATCCACCCCAACATCGATAATATCATTATTCCCCAAAATTTCCATCTCATTGTTATTTTCCCCCAAAACTGCACTTTCGGGAGAATCTTCTGGTTTCAGAATCTCCTCAGAGACGACCCCACCACCACTTTCATCTTCTTGATCAACAGCCTCGCAATTACCAGTGAAATTAACGGCCACGATGGCATCAATCCTCTCCTGCAACGCTATCGCCTTGCGAATCACAGCCTTCCTGCAAGCCCTAACCCCAAAATCCACCCCACAAATCGAGTCGAGCTTGAACAGGAGGGACATCAGGCTCTCGTTCATCCTCAAACGCTCCTTCTCGTCCCTACGAACAAGATCCACTACTTTCTCCTCCGACAGCCTCCCCTCGATCTCATCCACCTTACACTTGATGTCCTTAATCTTCTTCAGGCACTTCCGGACCAGAAAGCCCCTGAAAACCTTCTGTATCTTCACGGCAGACCCCAAGCGATCCACCTGTCCCGATCCGACGAACTGAACCGGAACCCGAACTACTTTCCCTCTCTCCGGCTGGCGCTGGACCGGCTGCCGGGAGGCAAGGCGGGTTTCCAGCGGATCGAGATGGTGAGCAGGCACGCCACCGTACGAATGGGTGGGGGAGAAAGGGTAGCGGCGAGGCTGTTGTTGATACCAGCGGCCGTCTGTGAAAAATGGCTTCTCCATGTCTGAAATCCAAAGAACCGTGAGCAAGTGTGTATTTTACTGTGTGTCAGATTCTTCTTTTTTATTCTCTTTAGGAAAAAGCTACTGTATATATATAATATAGTAATAGATAAGGGGTGAATTTGAAAGGTGGAATATCTGTAGGTGGGACAATGAGGGGTCGAAAATGAAATTACCAGAAGCTTCAGGAGATACTTTTTGGGGGGTGTCAGGGGCACATATGTTAATTTAGAAACTGGGAGGACGGTTCTGGATATATGTAAACTGGGAGGACGGTTCTGGATATATGTAGTACCTTCTCCAGAGATATGGCTAAATCCAAACGTGCGTGGGTTTGCTTGACCACTGACGTGCCATTTCCACCGCGTAAATTATCTACCCTGCCCTCGGGGAAGGATGGGATATCACCTTTAACTTCGTCTTATCCTGCGTTTACTATGTATTATAAATTTACTCGTGAGTTGTCTCACATCGTTTATATGAGGAAAATAATCTATTTCTCTTATATAAACGATGTAGGATAACTCACAAGTAAATATTATAATATGTTTTCTCTGACCTGTGAGCCTTAATAAGAAAACTCAAGCCCATATACGGAGCTATGTGCCCAAACCCTACTACAAATAGATTCCCATAAATTGGTACATGGGAAAATAGGTACGTCATCACACTGTCTCACATAGAAACGACTTTGATACCATGTAAGAAACGGACAAAACGAGTGCGGTCCCACGCAGATGACCCGCACCATAAACAGGGAAAAGCCCAGATGAAGCTCAAGTGAGGTTTCATCCTAAAACTAATTGGTAGGAGTAGTCCATTAGGCTTATAAATTAGGCATATTTCCCTATATAAATGATGCGAGACTACTCATATGTGAATATTCTAATATTATACATAATTGGGACTAGGATTTAGCCCATGTGGCATGTATAAGGAAGGTGGACCCTATGCAAAAATGGATATGTAGCTGGATAATTCAATCTCATCAAATAGGTGGGATATTTTTATCCCACTAACGAAATGACTATTTTTTCCGAAAAAATAATATTATTAATTTAAATAGTATTATTTAATTTAAAAAATATTACTTTAAATAATTATATTTAATTTAACAACATTATTTAATTTAAATAATACTAATTTAAAATAATATTATTTAATTTAAAAATACTATTTAATCTATATTATTTTATTTAATTTAAATATATATATATAATTGTTGGCTCATGAGCATTTAATAGAACTTATTAAATTATACCTATGTGGCAATATAAATTTTTCCCTCCAAAAACTGTTACTTTTAATTTATTTATAACCTCTCATTTAATTATTACATAATCAATATACTAATCACTTTAAAATTATGAAAATCATTTTAAACTTTTGATTTACTTACAGCTGACCATATAATATGTTGACCATTTAACATGATTAGATGTTTGTTGTGGTTACATTTAAATTAACTTCTTTTGGAAAATAAAAAATGTATTTGAAATTCCTAAATAAATATAAAATAATTCACCAAAAAAAAATGCATGCCAAACTATACATTACATCCAATGATGCTCCCCTACCCACGGTGGGCACATATTAATATGTTCACCGCTTATGTAACATGCACCACATTGGTGATGTTAATATGTTAAGAAAATACATCATCAATGTATGCATGCCACATAAGCGGTGGACATATTAACATGTGTCCACCGTGGGTAGAGAGTATTACTGTACATCCAATATGATAAAATACAATTTATAAATATTAATATCCCAATTCCTTTAATTATAAATTTAGCCTGCAAAAAAGTGCAAGAAAAGTCATATATCATTACATGAATACAAATAACTCACAATACTATATTTATATTTGTGCAAATGCACAGGTCGAATACTAGTATTAATATAATTCACAATATATTATTAAATTTAAAGTATTAACTTAATTTAAATTTATTATTTTATAGAAAAACTTTGACTTAAATAATTTTATTCGGAAATAATATTGATAGATTATTTAAGTTTTATAAATGTAATAATTTATTTATTTTGTATGTACTATATATCAAATCGAAGCTCATTACGAGATTACTAATTTGATTTAATATATAAAAACTTTATTGTTGATGGACGGATCCGATCAATGGTTAAAATAAAATTTAATAAAAATAAAGGGCTGAAAAGCAAAGAGAAAATACGGTTTAATTACGATTTATTATATGATCACGAGGTCGGCCTCTCGTACAAGGTCGGCACTTGTGTGACTGTTGGAATTATTACAAAAATTTATCACAGTTTTCTAGAGAGAAAAAGTAGAGAGAATGTAGAGTAGTTGAGGATTCAACAACTCAAAATAAATGAGATGGGTTCCTATTTATAGTATCCTTAAATGCTACTGTTCAGGTACTGTTCACCGGTCTTGTCGCACAGTGTTCTGCAGAACAGTCTGACGCCTTCCTGATAATTTATTAAATGTGATTTGAGGTTTCTTCAATCAATACCTGTTAGGCATTTAATGCACACATGGTGAGCATTTAATGCCTGACAGGCTTTTGTCGGGCTAGATGTTGGTAGGGCGACAGACTATGGCGGTTTGTCCCATTGCCAATGATGATCTTCCAAGTGGTAGTATTTTATTGTTATTGCGCCCTGCGCTTGTCTCCAGAGTGACTGTCCCGGGTCCTCAGGTTGGACTCGAACCAAATATGCTCCTTGAGCCTTCAGGATCTATTTTCCAGCCCGTCGTCCAGTGAGATCGGCACTACAAGTTTTTGGTGTCGGGTGCCGATCTTGTATACTGTTCTTGTGATGGTCACGATCACCTAATTTCGGAATTCAACTCGGCACTCCCGTGCGGAACCGGGTTTCCGACCCGGTTCTGGGAGGTTTCTTTGTCCGGTTCATTTTTGGCTAACTCGGATATCAATATTTATAATAAATTTAAAAATCATTAATCTTTAAAATATATTTATAATTTATTTTTTTGGTCAAAAATAGAGGAAAAATTTTAATGTTTTATATGTAGGAGATGAGGGTGCTATTTCTCATATCATTTTGTCTAGGTTAATAAACACTTAATTGTTTTTATCTTAAAAAGCATCATGTTTTGTAAATATTTGATAAATATTGATGTGTAAAATAGGTGAGATAAATATGCCCAATCTCATCCCATAAAGTAAATGAGGTCACTGGGGACCGTTTTTCTTTCTTTTTCTTTTAACGGAGTTCTATAAAAACATTTATATTTAGTCAACATTTAGAATTCGTCAAGCAAGTCACTTAGTTGGATCTAATAAGAAAACAACTAGACACCACAACACACTCACGATAGTAACAATAATAATAATACTCTCAAAAGGAGAATCAACACAGAGATTTCAAAGGCAAAATCAATACACAACCACAAAACAAACAACACAAGACAAATACCCACAACACCTAAACAAAAACAAAGACCCACACCACAAAACAAAACAAAACAAAAAAGAATGAAGGCCTCACAACCCGCTTCAACACAACACCACACAAGACAAGAGCAAGGTGGAATTTTTCTTTTTTTTTTTTTTTACCATTCTCAAGAGTTAAAAATCCATTTTTGTGGTGGGAAAACAAAAGGCATTTGCTCACAACAGAAGACACTACTTAGTTCAATGTCACATAATACGTTAACAGTCACACCATAACAAAGACAAAAACAAGAGAATTCAAGCTAATACAAAAACCACAGGCATGCTCAATGATCACTGCAAGCATTTGCACTGGCAGCTGCCTTTTTCTTCTTCTTTTTCTTCTTCTTC